CTGACTTTCCTTTCTAGCCACCCATCTGACTGGACTCGTCGCAGAGGAGAGGCAATTGCTTTGCTACAGAATACATTCGTAGTTAATGTATTTGTGATTTTTAGTAGATACCTCCTATGAATATTTTTCTGAACTTTGTGAATGAAATGGTACATTCGTGCGTTCCTAGTTTTACCCACTGAGTTTCCTGTCAGACCTGCTGTGCTGTAATGAAACCCCCAAAGTGAAGGCAGGTATAACAACTATGCTTTTTCATCATATGACATAACAAGAAAAGGAATTATGTCCTTAGTGACTTAAACCACAAGGTAAATAATATAAGGGGAAAGAAAACTTCCAAAAACTGTTGGTGATTAGGTAATCATAACTTTCATATTTCATTTTGATGTTTACAGAGTTCAAACAGATTTTTAAAAATGCATTTTAGTTTTTCTCAGACAATAGTCTGAGTGTTTGGGGGTTTTGTTGTTGTGTTCTGTTTTTGTAAGATTTTGTCATTGATTCATGGTGTTATTTGAAGCAAATGACATATGGCCGGATCCAAAGGCTCTGTAGGATCAGGCCCTTATGACCCAGTACCGTAAATACTCCAGAGTGTACTGCTCCCACCAGTAAGTAATCCCAGTGAATCTCAAATGAAAGGACTCCCTGTAATTACTGTAGGCAGGGTTGAGCCCTTATGGAAAGCAAAGCACAATGGAGTGCATATGGGTGATACTAAGTTCCCTCCCAGGGAGCTGCGGCTCTTTAAGTAGACCTCCCCATTGAATACCTTCTAATTAAAAATTGATGGCAGAACACAGCCCAGAGTGTTGCAGGGCTTAATTAAACATTTTTAAAACACTTTGGGATCCTTGTACTAAGACTGCTACAGACGTGTGAAGTATTACTTATTAAGGGCTAATTTTGGCTTCCTGTAGTAAGTATTCCCCACTCGCATCTCACCGTAAAAGGAGGGGCACGGTAGCCAGTAGAATACTGTCAGGAGAAGGTGGTGTGAAACCCCCATCAGATAGATAGTTTGTGTGTCGGTAACGTATTTAGTGCATTACGGGAGGTTTTCAGTGTGATCTTGGATTTAGGAGTCTCCCTGTATCATCAAGGAGTTGCTATGCTTTTGCCATTTTCATCATTTATGAGTACAGTGCTGTTATTTAATCCATATAGTGTATCCTACTAGCCTCAAGTGAGCTATGTAAGTCATCCCAAATGCATGCCAGTAAAATATTGACACCACACTGATGTTGCACAAACATTTGGATGGTTAAAGATTTGAACGTAGTTTTTTGGCAAGTAAGAGAGAGATTTGTTTCTCTATATATTCTCTACATTTTACAGAATACCTAAATTAGGGTTTTGAGTCCGAGGAATGTAGCGTAAAAAAATAAAAATAATAATAAAAAAAAAATTGGGAGGGGCAGGAGGGTGTACATGCACATGTCTGGAGAGAGCCAGTCAAGCATAACACTTTATATTGCCAAATTCATTACACAACCAGTTAGAATGAACATTTAGAACTACTGATATTAGTGAATTTGCCATTTATTGCTTTGGAGGTAGATATTTAACTTTTAGATAGAATTAGAAAGATGAAAGGTAAAGCAGCGAGGGGAGTGGGGGAGAGAGCAGGAGGAAAAAAGGCTAAAGGGAGACATTTCAGTGACAGAATCCAAGGTAGAAAAGAGACGACCTTTTTTCCAGCTACTCAGTTGGTCTAATAAGATCTCGAATCTGCTCAAAGAACCTTGCCCCTGCCTATGTCCTTAGACCAACATGGCTACAACCAAAAACCTAGCAACTTTAAAATAGGCTAATCCTTATTAAGCATCATTTAAAAACTCTGCTCTTTAGTTAATATGCATTAAGCTAAGTTAATTTGCACTTTCTTAGTACCTCACAATGGAGGTATTAGTTTATGAACCTTAAACCTAAAGTGTGTTAATCCATGTGTAGATGTGTTTTAAGGCTTTACTACAGCTGATTTTAAGACGGAAAGGCACTTTGCCGGCTCAGACATGGAAGAATTTTAGAGCACCAGAGAAAGCAAAAACGAGGGTGTAATGGCATCAGTGGAAATAGACAACCAATAAAACAATGGTGAGAGGACGGTGGGGCAAATGTGTACGGTTTTAATAGAGCTTGAAAACATAGTAATTAGCACATAGTAACTACTTCAATTGTAAGTTAGTGTAGATAGGATAGATACCTCTGCTATTCTGTTGAACCTTAACTTATACATTAAAACTTTTAATAAAAATGAAAGATGAATGTTGATCAAGGACAATGGTGTGTACAGTAGTTGCATTTTTAGTTTTCCTCTTGTGAGTCAACTCGGGTGAAAATGAGACACACATACCAGTAGGGATGTATGAAGTACTACCCAATAAAGGAAGGAGAAGCATGGAGGAAAGTGAGGTAAACTACCCAACTGGGATTTCTCTGTACTGAGATTTAAATGTGCAGCAGAACATATGAAGTAGGAAAGGGGTTTAGTAACCTGCAGGCTGCATGTGTCCCGCAGAGCCATTTCTTCTGTCCCACAAAGCAGACTGCACAGGCCTCTGTGGCATTTCCATGGTATTCCTGTGGTGGGAGCTTCACCTGTGTGGCAGCTGGGTAGTGGGGAGAAGTGACAGCAGTGGCACTGGCTTGGGCACCGGCTCCAGTTGTACAACCCACATCGGAAGTGACCTATGCTTGAAGATGATCTCCATTAGAGCAGACCCTTGCTGCAAAGTGGCCAGCCACTGAGCTATGGGGAACTGAGGTGTTAGCTTAGCACTTGTTGAAATGTACAGAGCTTTTTCCACACTAGAGTCTTGAATGATTAGCTAATACATTTTAAGACACCTCCCAACCCTTTTTCAGATGAGAACTAAGGGGCAGGATAAGGAGCCTGGGGAAAAAGAAGACTTGATTCCAGCTGTTATTTCTTCATATACCTTTGAGCACCCGATGTGCCTCTTATCTTCTAAAATTCACTTTGTGTTCTGATTCTCCTCCCATTTGCTCTCTTCTAGGAAAGATCTGGCTGATGTTAGTGATCTTGCTGAGAATGGCGGTGATAGTGTTAGCAGGATATCCACTCTACCAAGATGAGCAGGAACGGTTCATCTGCAACACCTTGCAGCCTGGATGCTCCAATGTGTGCTATGACATTTTTTCTCCTGTCTCTCATTTTAGATTTTGGCTCATTCAGACAGTGTCTGTACTGTTACCTTATGCTGTGTTCAGTGTCTATGTTCTGCATAAGGTAGCCATGCACCTAGCAAGAGCACACTGTTTGCTGTGTAGACATAAAGGGATTAAAGACTTCGCTAGCCACAAAGCTTTGAAGGAACCCAGCGGAAGTGCTGCCATCACTAGACCAGCCTGTAAGACTGACTACTTGAGCATCCCAGATTTTTCTGGGGCTTATACTGTTCACCTTTTCCTAAGGACATTGGCTGAGGCTGCCTTTGGAGCTGGACACTACTATCTCTTTGGATTTTTTGTTCCCAAGCGCTTTTCCTGCTACCATTCTCCTTGTACGAGCATGGTTGATTGCTACATCTCCCGGCCCACTGAGAAAACTATCATGATGATTTTCATCTGGGGAGTCAGTGGCCTCTCCTTTCTCCTTAGTCTTATTGACCTAGCTTTTGCCATCCAGCGAATGGCAGTAAGAAATCAGCCAAATAAGCAACTGATTACAAGTCTCCATGAAGAAAATGAGCTAAATTCAGACCTGCCTCCAGCTGACAAGCATGGAGGCTCTTCACCATTTCAGGAAGACAGAGGCCATCCACCTCCAGCAATGAATGATAATCCCGTCAGTGAAGGTTCTTGTTCACTCCTCTCTGAAGAGGAAGAAGAATCTGCTCTTCATCCTCACGTTCACTCCCAGCAAACTGCCAGCTCAAACCTTAACAGTAACAGCAACAAGCCCTACACAGCGGATGGCCTTGCTGCTAATCACACGGGCAATGAAACACACTTACGTGGCGGCAATCAACAAGGGATTTCATACCGGCAGTCAGGACTTGGGTACCATCAGGGCTTCACCAAAGAGCCTGTCCTTGCTTTGATCCCCCAGGCCAAGTCACCGCTCGGAGTTTATTCCTCTGTAGTTCAGAGCAAGCTTTCAGGGCAATATTCATCAGCTGAGCTAAAAGCATCAGACGTGCAATCAAATTGTAGCAGTTCTGGTTACTTAAGGTCAAAAAAATCTGAATGGGTTTAAAGTCCAGTAGCTGATCAGTGTCCTCGATTAACACGTGCTTCATAGCACTATTGCTATTGCATTTCAGATGAATACCATAAAGGTTAAATCCAATTCTTGCATGTAAAAAAAATTTTGCTATGTTCCTTTGGTTGAACAAAGAGCAGGAAGCAAAACTTGCTGTGATTATAATAGGAATGCATGGAAATCTCTGATAACACCTTGTTGCAGATTTCATTAAGATAACTTGCTGTTTGGAGAAGATAATGATTTTAAGCTCTCCTGAATTTAAGTGATCTTTTTAACAAGACCATGGATAGCTACTGATGTGGCTAACCTTCTTTTCACATAAACATAATGTACTTTTTCTTGCATGTACCTAGTATAAAGGCAAACTATTCACCTTAGAAATAGCATAGGCTTGAATTTTAAACGCCACTTTCCATTGCCTGTTATCCAAAGGTTAATGAATCTCCCACATGAAATCTTCAAGACCTTTCTAAAAAGGATATTACATTGAACACCTCATCTTCAGGAGTATGTACTGCATATCTAAACCTCATGCTTTGTAACAGAGTGCCCATATGTAAACTTAGAAAGAGATATGATATCCATACAAAAGGCCTCTTTTCTCTGATTAGTTCAATTAATCATTCAAAAAGAATTGCCCATTGAAATAGATTAAATTAGAGCTGATCTTTTAGTTGTAATGGTTTGATCTTTACTTTTCTACATTCATTCTAGTATGGCCCAGCACTTAAAGCACAAGACTAGGAAACCCAGAGGCCTGGGTTTCATTCTAGGCACATGGCCTTAGAAAGTTATTCAGAGCAAGTTACTGATATGTAGCTACAGCTCATCATGGACAGAGGTGAAGGAGCCCAAGCTCAACGGGAGTTGTAGAGGATAGGGTACCACACCGTTTCAGAGGACTGCGGAGAGAGAGGCTGGTTGTAGAAGAAGCAGGTTTCATTTCTTCCAGGCTGGTGCAAGGGTTGTTTGGAGGTTAGATCCAGCACACTTACTGCAGAACAAGTCACGTGTAAACAGTAATGGCAGCTCTGCAGGGCTTTTGTGACTTAGCTGAAGGGGAAAGTAGCTCCTTGCCTGTCCTCTTCCCATTTGTGCTCATGTGCTAGAGACAATCTTGTTCATAAACACTTAGTTTCCACCTCTGCACAATGTAAAGAAGGATCCTAACACCTCCCAGGGGTATTTAGTCTTAATAACTGGGCAAAACTCACCCCGTGTGTCTGAAGGCAAATTTTGACTTTACAGAGAAAGTGTTTTGATTTCCCCAGAGAATATGCTAAATACTACCTTAATTGCTATAAACTAAATAATATTTCCCTTTGTTAGTTGAGCTTGTTCCATTTTTCATGTGTGATGGTGACACATTTTATCATTTCCTGGATAGGAATTATATTAATTATTAAACAGATTGTAGACAGGAAAGCATTAACTATTTAGCTCTCTAGTCTCCAAGGTCTATTGAAGGGGTATGCATGGATTAGCCCACAATATCACAAAACAGTGCAGCACTTGCACCTTTTATCATTCAAATGATCTTATCAGCAGTGAGAAGGAATGCAAAAAACAAATGTGGGTAGAGTTTGTCTTGTACAGCCCTCAATCTGGTACCTAAATAGACAAATGCATTAATAATGTATGTGCTGTGACTGGACTCAGAGTGTGTTTATTTGCATATCTAGTCTTTTAAAAATATATAGCTAGAGAATCTCCAGCATAAATTAATGATATCCCTGAAAGGGATAGTAACATTTGTAAAACTCTTCCTTCCTCTGTTTGTGGTTTTAGTTATGTAATAATGATTTATGCTAATAATACTGTCACTTAATCATAGGTCTGAATGATGGATAGTCTTTATTGTCTTTGGATCCCCGTAGCATGAAGCCAGTGCAACAAATATAATATAATTGGAGTTCATTGCTCGTTGAGCATACTGGACATCTCAGGATTTGTGCTCTTAACTGAACGATGAACAAAAGCTCTGAAAATGCCAATATGCTCTAATTCAGTGGTTCTCAAACTTTTTAAACTCAAGAGGCTCCTTGATGGACTTGAGGCACCCTCTTAATTTTTACTTATTTTTTGACTACAGAAAATTAATAGAGCAATTTTTCTGTTGCAAATAACTCAGGAAGACCACAATTGGTATGGATTCCTATTTGAAAACCGCGTTTATCTTGTGAATCATGTTTGCACACCTGACAGTAATGACATTGAATGCACCCTTGAAAGGATCTCAAAGCATCCCAGGATGCCATGGCACCCTGGTTGAGACTCATTGTTCTAAGGGATGTCTCTGTTCTTAAGGCTGCTTCCAAGTCTGTCTTTTTTTTTTATGATGATGTAGGGAATCAGGGAGGCATACTTTTCTGGAAAAACCAAAAATAATTGTTAAAACTCTACAAGACCATGGTGAATTTAGGGGTTTTTACTGCTCACAGCTAAAATAATATGACTACATATCTGAAGCAGATTAGAATTGGTGATCAATGAATAAAAGCAATGAGAAGCAAGACATGCAGCAAATAGAAACATTTTGAGCAAAGAGAGGCCTTTTAAAAAGAAGAAACAAAAAGGATGCACCTATTTTTTAGGGAGGGAAAACTAACAGGAAAACTCATGTCCATCTGATCCTTGAATACTACTTGAAGAGAGCAAATCAACGTGGCGCAGGATTCCCAGGGGAGTCCCTCAGGGCTCGGTACTTGGGCCAGTACTCTTTTTAACATTTTTATCAGTGATCTGGATTCAGGAATAACTGGCCAAGTTCATGGACGATACCAAATTATGGGGGAGGGCAGTCACGGTGCAGGACAGGCTGGGAATGCAGGCCGACTTGGACACGCTCTCAAGGTGGGCCAACCAAAACTGGATGGCCTTCAATGCAGAGAAGTGCAAGGTGCTGCACCTCGGTAGGAAGAACCCTCAGCATACTTACAGGCTCAGCAGTACTACGCTCACTAGCACAGCTACCAAAAGGGACTTGGGGGTCTTGATTGGTGGCTCATATTCATCTTGTGGTCAATGTGATGTGGTGGTGAGCAAGGCTAACCAAATTCTTGTGTGCATTCACCAATGCATCTTAAGCAAAACCAGGGAAGTCATCCTCCTGCTTTACTCAGCCCTGGTGAGACTGCAGCTGGAGTACTGCATCCAGTATTGGGTCCCTCTTTTCAGGAAGGATGTGGAGAAGCTTGAGAGAGTCCAGAGGAGAGCCACTCGTATGATCCAAGGCCTGGAGGGAAGGCCATACGAGGAAAGGCTGAGGGATTTGGGACTCTTCAGTCTGGAGAAGAGAGGGCTTGGGGGGACTTGGTGGCAGCCCACAACTTCATCAGAGGGGTACATCAGGATCTGGGAGAACATCTGTTCATCAGAGCTCCAAGGGATAACAAGGTCTAATGGCCATAAACTCCAAGAAGGCCAATTTAGACTGGATATAAGAAAAAATTTCTTTATGGTGTGTGTGTCCAGGGTCTGGAACTAGCTCCCTCCAGAGGCGGTGCAAGCACCTACTCTGGACTCCTTCAAAGAACAGGTGGATATATTTCTTGCTGAGGTCACTTGATCCCAGCTGACTTACCACCTGTGGTGATGGGGCTGGACCCAATGATCTCATGAGGTCCCTTCCAGCCCCTAATGTCTATGAAATCTATTAATGTAAAATAAGATTCCAAGTGATTCCTGTTCCATTAGGCAACTGTTTCTAGGAAGGTTGGAAAGGAAGAGTACAGATAGTTAGAAAATTAAGTTCACAAATCCTGTTGTAGCATGCAGTGTAGAAGCTTGGCTACAAATGCTACTCTTGGCTTTGTGACTTCTGTCACGTGTCCTCCAATATGCCTCCCAATAACTACATGTTAAGTGTTCTCACTTGCTTTCAGATTCTTTCTTAACTTTGCTTCTAGAGGAACAGCTCCCCAAAAGATAGGCTGAAACCAGAACATTGACCATGGTGCTCTTCAAACTTCAGGAGAGTTTGGATTTGCATTTAGACCATGTTGTCAAAACCACCTGCAAGTGACCCAGGTGACAAAAGGTCTTCCCACACCAGCAACAGGATGAAATGCTAATGTTACTGTGTGGAGTGTAATAGGAGCTCATCATCCAGTCTTGCGGACTAATGAGAAACAGATAATTGATTTAATGGAAACAGTTTGCTTTTGATGAATTTTCACTGTCTAACTTTATCCAGACTACATAGTTTGTTCAATAAAAGATCATCCTATGAAATATTTGCCTCTCACTAAAACCTAGGTTCCTCTCAGCTCCCTGGATGGGCTGTTGGGAGTCCCAGGACTCCCAAGGTCTAGAGCTCTGGGACAGCCCCTATTGTCTTACTGCCCGGGGGCTGGCAAGCCTATGGTTTTAGTCTCCTCAGCTCTTGGGTATCCTCATCACAGATGCTGCTCTATGAAGGGAAATCTGGGACTGTACCCCTTCATTTAAAAAAAAAAAAAAAATCAAATCTAAAGATTTCAATTTTTCCAGCAAAAAAGTTTTGAAATGTCTTTGTCATGTGAAAGTTTGAAATGCACTGTTTTGTGTCAATTTGGAATATACCTTTTTGAGAGCTCAGAATAGAAGAGAAATTCCAAGTATTAAGACGCTTTAATCACTCTTTCCCAGTTATTACAACCATCCTACCCCAGTTTAATAGAAAGCCTTCATCTCCATTCTGTAATGCCGTAGATTGTACACTGTTGGCTAGTGGATGTATAATTACGCAACAGCAGCGGTTGTCCTTCCTTCTCCAGCTTCAGAGAAGGAAGTAAAGCTAACAAATTTATTCAAAGTGAAGCTAACAAATTTATGAATATCTTTAGTGTATTATTGCATGCTTTAAGATACCCTTCTTTTGTGATGCATCATTATGTTGGTATCCTTCTGTTAAGGATCTGTGAAAGAGGATATTAATTGTACGTTATTTTAACATCATAATTATACTGAAGAATAGATATTTTGCTGCATGTATTGTTTCAGGATAACTATACCCTCAAACCTAGCATATCCTAAACGTATGAGAGATGATGCTACTCTTTAACTTCTTTCTTTTGTGCTGTTTGATACCTTGCTAGTCAGAGAAGTAATTTTACAGTGCTGTTCTCCCGTGTAATTGAATTGCTGAGAACATTACGGAAACAAGATACCTCGTTCGAAGTCCTAACATAAACACTTCTTCTGTCTTGCATGCAAGTTATGGCAAATACAGGAGTCTGATCATAGTGTATTCATTGTATCTTTATATCAGAAGTTAAATCATATAACCACCTCCACACTGCATGACTCCTATCACAATGCCTCCTGTAGTACTGCTACCCTCTCTCACCTCTTCCCCCTCCTTCCAGTCCCCAAAGTCCTTCATCTACAAATAGGGAATTGGAAGTAAAAATTCTAAATGCAATGAAATCACCAAAGCTGCTCTACTATATATCTTCATGATTTTACTGTTGTTCCTCCCTGCTAGCCATGCTTTGTCTGATGTGCACTTGGAGAATGTTATTTAGATTGTTCCTGACATGAATCAAAATTTAAATTTGTTCCCTAGGAAGTAATTTGATTACTATGATGTATATTGCCCCTTGCAAGGAAAAAACCTTGTATATCTGGATAAAGTTAAGTTCACCTACATGTATAATACTTTGAGTAATCCATCCTACTGAATTGTTACATGTAAAACAAATACTGAGAGGCAAGGCATGGAGAGGTTTTCCATCAAGCAATTTCCTTTCTTTTGTTTGCCATAGCAACAAAGGGGTGGGTGGGGGGTGCTGATTTTAAGAGCTCTGTATATACAGTAGTGGATTCTTGACTGAAATCTACTGAATTTCTTCTGACATACCTCCACTGAATTAAGGCCGTCTTGTGGATTTCACGGTCTTTTCTTTTGGTGTTTTCCATGTCAGGAGAGAGAGATCAAGTTTCCTGTAGCTCAGTAATTGAGACTTTAACCCAGGTATCAGAGCCATACTTGAAGGCTTTCACTGTTGAAAACATTGTTGAACGAAGATCGTAGTGGAGCATTGCTCTCTTATAAAAGCCCATTCCTGCATGATATGCTTAAGAAATAAAGTGGAGGGGCAGGAAACAAATCCCCTCCATGTTTCCCCCAATTGTCTTTGCAATGTTGTCCCTCCAAGAACAGGAGCTATATTTTGTATATTGTGTACTGCAGAGCATGCTGGCATTGTTAAAGAACTGGTGATGACAACAATGATAATAGACAGCAACAGCAAGGGAGAAGTGCAGGAGGGTCTGACCAAGCTGAAAGTATTCCTGCAGTGGCTCCTAAATGGCCCAGTATTAGACGTAGTAATACTCCTTCTTTCTTAAGAGCACCAAAGAATATAGTTGTGCTAAAAGTGGCCGTAGCTCTGTCTTAGCCCTCTGACCTGCTCCATCCCCACCACGTCTCAGTAGTCAGAGGTAATCCCTAAATAAATGATGGCTAATGAATGTGTTAGGGCAGCAGTGGCTAACCTGCAGCATGGATGCCATAAATGGCATGGGCAACCTTTGTGCATGGTGCATGACAGATCAGAAATAGGACAAACAGCACCATAGCAAATATGGCAGGAAGCAGAAAGTAGAGCAGCAGATGGGGCAGGGAGCACAGGGAAGTATGGAGAAAGCGGAGTAGGCAAGGGAAGAGGATTGGAGTGGCAATTGGGGAGGGTGTGGAACTAATTTCTGGCACACCTGCCAA